GTTAGAAATATAGAAAGAAATCCATTTGAAGAAATCCGTTCTTCAAATGGAGATAAACGCACATATTCCATCAATAACTGGTTCAAAACAAAAATCAAAATAACACCCACAAACTTGGATTTAGATATGATATTTGCACTTTGGGGCCATTTTCAATTTTTAATGCCTTCATGAGGCATTACAAAAAAAAAGATACTTTTTTTAAAATTCCCTTTAAAAGGATGGTGGAGTGTCCTCCTAGTCTGCCCCAATAAGTGTAACTTCTTACTGGTCAAGAGCAGCAAAAGATGGCATTGTTCTATGCCAGTTGTTCTCAACCTTTTTAGACTTAAAAAGTTACAGCTTTTAGCTTTTGCTCATATTTTGACTACAGAAAAATGCATCAATCCTCCTGTTGTAAAGTACTCAGAAACACCACAACAGGTTACAATGTTTTTGACATTGTAGTTCCTATCTGAAATCTCTGGGTTTATCTTGTGAATCATGTGTAGGTGTAAGCACACTGAACAGTGCTAATATTGCATGGCACCCTGGCTGAGAATCACTGTTCTGAACAATAATGAAATTGGCCATCTTGAAAAGGAGACACTGCCTTCTAAAGAAGTGGGCCACTTCCTCTTACGTATTCTCTTCAGTACTAAGTGGGACAACTTGTTTTTTTGCAGTGCTAGTTTAAGTAAGAATAAGAGTTATGGTAACTATAGGAATGGGAAAGACAAGGAAATAAATTGTCAGACTAGTTCCAATAATATTCACAGGCTCCAAGAAGCATTCACAATGGACTAGAACTTTGGATCTAGCCGAGCTTCTCTTACAGTGGCACCTGGATGGTCAAATGCAGAAAGAAAAGAAAATCAAGAAGGTGGCAGCAGGTATGTGACCAGTCCAGACCCCCACATGCGAAACGCAAGGATTTTGAGAGATTGTCAAAAGTGCAATAGACTCACATCTCCCAGTTTGAGGCAAGTACCCAAGCTGTGAATGACATCTTCAGCCAGATCAGAGTGATCCGAGTCCCACACTAAACCAATAGTGATGATCTGGGGAGAGTTCATCAGCACACGGCGAATTCGGATTTTTTCTCCACAGTTACTCTGAAACAAAACAACCCCTTTTGAACAAATATCTTTATTTTTCATTGTATTACCACTGCAGGGTCTTCCTGCAATATCAAATTCCTACTTCAAAACAGAAAGACTACAGTGTAGCAGATTCAATACACTCTATGTTGAGAAGATTGGAGAAAGTTTGGCAAATTATACTAAACCTTGCTTGGTATTCACAAGTTTTAAAGTGAATACTGCTAATTCTACCAACTAAGGATAGCAGTTACAAGGTACAATCCCAAGGAAGGCAAGTAAAAAGCAGGGAGGAAAAACTGGAGGATCCTCAGCACTCAATTGGAAATCAGTGGGAAGATTCACTTTTTACCATCTGTTGTTATTTGGAAACTTTTTCTAGATTCTTTTAATCTGTAGCAGTAGTTAAAAATTAAATTGCATACAAAAATAGGATTTTGATATCTTCCATGTTATGGTAGTGTTAGAGTAATATTGTAGTAGTGACTATCCAGGAATTATGTGGAAATCGTGGGTTTCTTTGGGGTGATACCTTTTATTGGGCTAACTGTACTGTTACAGTTGGGACAAAATCAGACAAGCTTTTTGAATGCAAAGCATTCTTCTTCAGGTGACCTGGATTTTTGCCACTGAATGACAGCTGCAAAATATATGTCAATTTGTCCTCCCCTTTTTCTAAGATTTAAACACCCAACACTTAGGTATTTGGATGCCGGCAACTTGAAGCTTGTCTTAACTTTATCCCGACTATCCCGTTGGTCCAATAAAAGATATCACCCCCCAAAAATCATTACATCTCTCATAATTCCTGGACAACCATGGCTACAACATCACCCTAATAGAGCCATACAAAGGCACAGTGATCAGGAATCTTTTTGAAAGTACTGACAATAATCAAATATTTTCTTATGCAAAATAAGAGAAGATCACCATAATTCCAACAAGTGATGTAAAACTGAAACAAATCAGATGACCATTTAGCTCTGACAGAGTCACTGTAAAATCCTCCCTACCCTAATGCCAGATCACTGTATGCTCCTTTGCACAGAGCTTCTCAGGACAAAAATGCCTTTCTGCAAAAGGCTTCTCACTCTCACAGAGACCTATTTCACCACTAGAATAATCAATCCTGACAGTATGTCCAGGGACTAGGAAAAAACCCAAAAAAACTTTAGCATGCTTCTTCCCCTAGGCAGAAATTTATAAAGGTGGCTGGCTTCATAAAAATAATTTATCATAATTCTCCTTACATGTTTCATTGCAACAACTTTCAGTCTAAGTAACTGAGAGAGAGAGCACAAGTTAAGTCATCCAAATTCAACTTAAGTATGGGTAACAGAGGGAGAAAACTTTCCCCAAATACTGAAGTCTGGGATGTTTAAATCTCTGGAAAAGAGAATGACAAATTGACATACATTTTGCAACTGTCATTCAGGTGGCCAAAAACCGGTACAAGAGAGCATCTGTGGCTTACATCAGGGCAACAGATTTACTTTAACTACAGACTCTTTCCCTTTCTTTTCCTCTTCTGCCTATTTAAAGTGGTAATAAGGTATGCCAAAGAACTTTAGCTAATTTACTCGCTTTCAGTTAGTCTGTAAGGTGCATCTATCTGTATTCTGTTGTCTGCCTGGTAGAGGAATAACATGAATTCCTCTTGTATTGTTGGGAGTTCCATTTTTAGCTAAGCCCCTTCACAATGACTCCAACAAAGAGGGAAAGGACAGTGATTGGCAAGCGATTCAGTCAAACCAAAGAATTTGTACTAGATAAATCAAAGGCATTTCACTGCCACATGGACTATATTATACTTCAGCTTTCCATAGTTTGCTTATTAAACCAACTTCCCCCTGCAAAAAGCTTGCTAATTTTAGCAAGATAAATGTGAAATATTTTCCCACTTTCTTACTCAAATCCTTGTACCATTTTACTCCAACTTTCCAAATATAAGAGGAAAATGGACCTCTGTACCAAGACCAAGGTTAAAAACTTCAACTTCAAAAAGTGAACGTTTCTGAAATTTATAAGCAACTGACAAGCTGATGGTTAAAAAAGAAATGTTTATACAACCTTGATTAAAGTAGTTGTTACCATTTATTCCACACCCAGGATGAGTGCCAGAAATGCCTACTGCTCTTCAGAGGGGTTATCAGTAAACTCTACCAAGAACTTGAAAGGTCTTTAATCCTACAGCTACACAGAACTACATATTTAATAGCACCAGTATTTTCCAACTGTGGTCTATAATCACCAAATGTATCGATAAGTTAGCCTTCTTCCACCTACTAATGTTCTGGTCCAGTATGTAACACACACACACACACACACACACACACACTTTTGCAGGGTTGGACCCACAGTTTACAAAAACTAACAGAATGGGTCCTACTTGTTGTGTGTTGCAAGAACCCATGTACACCGATGGAACCAAACAAGCAAAATACCATCTATTTTATTCATTGCCACATATCGAACCTAGAGAAATCCACCTACATTTTTGTCAGGTATATAGTGGAGCAGCAGAATGGAATACCCTTCAAAAAGAGGAACCCAGGGGTGCTAGCCAGATATGTGCAATTACTTTTGTAAGCTTAAATGTCAGTTAGTCTTCTTTTTCTTCATTTCTCACTCCACTGTCCAGTTCAGCAGTTCTTGTTCTTTTTCTTCCAGTGTTCTTGAAGAAGTCTTTTCAAGTTCTCTTTCAGCATATTAGGTTACCTGTTCCTTATCTTCCTTGCGGTCATTGTCCAATGATAATTAGATCCTGGATTTTTCAACCAACATATCCTACATCTTCATTATCTCCTGTGACTCAGCCACCTCAAGGTAAACTCTCCAGCTTTTCTGTGCCAAGATCTACCTCTGCCATGGCCAGGATCATTTAATTGTATTGCCTACCAACTCTGACCTTATGCAAAGTCCACCTGAGCATTCCCTTTTGGCAAATTTGAAGTAGCAGTTCTTCTCCTTTCCTTGCTAGCCAACGTTCTTACTTGTATGTCATGAGTAGCCTAAGTATGGTCTAATTTGCTCTTACATTTATTTGCAATGTTCTTCTCAGAAATATCACCTAAAGAGTTCCCATAATCAAGATGGGTGCAAGGACAAGCTCCCACTCCTTAGAAAATGCCTCATACATTCAGGACAATACACAGACCAATTTTTAAGCTTTTTTCACTTGTCCTCACATGGCAGAGGCACTCAGAACCAAAAGTGAGGGTGTAAAAGGTGGGCATCTGGCATTTCACACCAGATCGTTCTAGGCAGGAGAAACTCAACCATGGCAGGCAATCCAGGTAGGACAAGGGAAAAGTCCTATTCCAAACTGAGAAAGCCAAAATTAGTCAGTTGGTTTGTAAAAATCGCATTAAATCTGCAAGCATTTTGAGTCCACCTTTTCAGGGACTACAAAGGAATGTCAATTTATTGGCCTTTTTTAAATTCCTAATGTCAAAATTTCTCTCATTCTTCCCAAAGACATAATCAAAGAGAAAAATGTAAAAAGCACAGCTTCATCCCTAAAGCTCAAATATAGAACTTCCAGTTGACATAGGAGCTTACTTATGTGAAATACCAACTTAGGGCATGAGAGGGGAAGGGATAGCTGGCACGGAAATTCTGTTATCTATATTGTATTACAACACCATCAAAATCACTCTACAGGCGAAGGCAAATCCTTATCTTCCCATTCTGTCATGGCATGTGAAAAAGCTCTACTGACTATTTTACAAAAAGGAACACCACAGAAATAGCGTTCATAGTGGAAATGCTGCCCTAAATCTGTCTATAAGCTCAGAAGCACTGTCAACATAAAACTACCCTCCAAAATTAAGCAACAGCTTCATTGTCAGACCTGTTTCCTTGAGTATACACTTTTCCAATTTCGATCCTATCAAAATGGCCATTCTTTTACCATTTGTATCCTTACAATCCCAGCTGTTCAAAAAGAGGCACAGAAAATGCCGAAAGATTTTCCCTTCCCCTAAATAAAGGATCACATGCATCTGGATCACTGGAAATCATACCAAAGAAAACTGTCCAAACCATCTGTCTCAAAAATCCTCAATAGTCAGAGGCACATATATGTAGACACTATTAACTCTTATCTGTCTTTTGCTCCCATTCAATGTAAACTAAACATACTAACTGGACAGTTTCGTAGGTCTCCCATGGTGCTGGCATTCTGTAGTAGCTCCCCAAACATATCCGGAGTAGGTTTCTCTCGTCTCTCCAACATGCAGATGGCCTGATTGCTTCAGTGTGTACATGTAAGAGAGAAAAGTTTAAAAAAAAATAAGTGCGTGTACAGATTTAACTAGTTCAGTAGATTTTATGCCACTATTAGAGGATGGAAATATGTTAAAGCTACCCAAAGAACATTATATTCATTTTTTGTGATGGATGTGCATATGCCTTGAAAAATATTTTAATGTGTAAAACCAACAAGTCTAAACGGAGACTTTGTACACCTTCTCAAATATTGAGGAAATAAAATGGGCAGGGTTAAAAGACACTATCAATTCCTGTTTGACACAGAACTTGGACTTTAAGGCAAGCCTTAAATATTTCAAGGAATATTTGTTAACTTTCAAATTAAATACTTGTTTTTAAAAATAAGTAACTGCCAGACCCTTGTCAGCATTTCCATCTCAATCTGAGCAGCCTAGGTTATTTATTTATTTTTAAAATAAATTAAACAACAAACAGCAATCAATAAGACATTGCCTAAGGTAAAAGACTGCTAGTAGTGATTAAATATAAGTTAGACTTTAAAAGTTATCAATTTTAATAGTCACTTCAATGGCACCAAATAATTATAATTTCAGTTGAAACTGTAATGATAAAAACAATTATTTTTATTATCAATTTTTAGTTTAATTTTAATTAATAAAGTAATTCAAATAAATAATGGTCAAGTAAAAAAATTCTATGACAAAATGAAATGTTAGGTAGGAGCCACAAGGGGGATGGATGCAACATATGCTCAAAATCCTTTTTAAAAACTGTAGGACCATAATTTCTCCTTCTAATTTGCATGATAAGAGAAAAACTGATTTTAAAAACAGTATCCAAATCCTTTTTTGGGCTCTGCTATGGCATACCTCTCTTCCTGGTGGGCAGCTAATTTATTTCCATCTCAATCAGGGGTTTGAAAATGGCATTCACTATCCTTAGGCAGTTTCTGGTGGATAATCAAGTATATCGACATTTTCAGAAAGGAAAATGCACTGTTCACAAGGCATACAATCTAAAACTATTAAGAACTTCGTTAATTTATGTTATTTTTCATGGTGATGTACATATTCTCTCATCACTATGAAACTAAAACATAACTCAGTACTAGGAGAGGGTAACTGAAAATCTTAAATTCCTGACACAGTGACAGGCCTCAACTTTTAGCTCCATTTATTGTAAAGAATAGCCACCCATCATTTTGTTTCTTGCACTCAACGCAAAGAACAAAATGAATGAATAAGAAAAACATTTTTAGCTATTTCCACACAAACACTATTTACTATGGCAACCAAAAGAGAACATGTCAAAAGAGAAATAATTCTGGTAACCTATGTTCTGTTCCTATTTTAGTTGATTATCTGTGAGGTGGTAGTTTTCATCTGAAGCACTGAAAAGAACAAATAAATTAGTGGAGATTAATGGAGTGCCTTTTCTTAGGGTTAGACAGCAGATGCACCCCCTTCTTAAGACTTCCCTAGAGGGGATTGTTTTAATCTCCTCTAATTCTTTTACTTAACGTATAAGCATTTGTTCATCAAATAACTTGTCAGCCAGAAAACATACTTGGAAGAATTGTTTTTACATATTTTTTATTTGCTTGACGTGCTTTTGATGGTCAGACTTTCACTGTTCACTACTGATTGTTTCCAGTTAATTTAATGCAAAGAAACAGCATATGGCAGCTCTTGGAACCTGAGAATTAAGATACAGGTTTCCCTTGCTTTATGCTGTACATGCGTTCCTGGAAAATGGCACATAACTTGAATTTGCATATAGGGAACCCACTTTACAACATAAGAAATAGAGATACATTCTAAGACCTTGACTGTGCTGACCATCAGATCCCTTTCTACCACTTTTACAAGACAATCTTGGTACTCACCAACAACAGACAGTACACACAAGCACAGGGCGGTCATGAATGTTACCATAATGGGGATGGCAACTACAGAAATGCGTCACAGACAATGAGCGAGGAGCACAGATCCACACAGGAGACTATATTTTGGTGTGCATTACTCCCACAATGCACCGCACAAAGCAGCTGACTGCGGGCTTCCACCACACCAATTGCATAAGAGTGAATTTACCTCAAATATACTGAATTTTTGGTATACAAAGGGTCATCACATAAGAGCGAATTTGCACATTCAGAACCCACATAAAGCAAGGGAAACCTGTAATTTTTTCCTTTTGCTCTTAAATATTTACCAATATATCCTGGCCTAAATTTTACCAATATATCCTGGCCTAAATTTGGTACAGGATGTTACAGGCAAATCTGTTTAAAACGAAAGCCTACTAACAAGATTGCAACACACTTGGGAGTCAACATAAATAAGTTGTTTAATATTCATGAAAAAGTTAGGAACTTACTCTTAACTTACATTACCCTTTGCTATTTCTGTTCAGCCCACCAGACAGCTCTGCCAATGCAACTCAACCCTAACTTGTATTACTCTTATTGTCAGTTCTGGGTCACCACAGTTGTCCGTGCTCTTCAGCCCTGGACTCCAGTATAATTCTATCCTGTCTCACTTAACTCATTTATTCATGTACCTATTTCTTTTAGTCCTAGATCAACTCCCTACTATTACAATCCTCTGTCAGTACCCTTGATTGCTGATCTCCAGTAGGGATGCCAGGTCCAGCCTGTGGAGCCACATGATCCAGCCCCTGCATACCACATGAAGCTGGTCTGACGAGCTGGCTAGACCCAGTGGTCCAGGCACTACTTGTGGTCAATCTGGGGCACAAGCTGCATGTGGTGCCACACCAGACCAACTCTCCACACTGGCTCTGGGGCTGGTCTGGATCAGGCCAGGCCACAGCTAGCACACCAGCCAGCTAGCTGTCTAGTGGGGTCTGCAGGATCGGGCCTCAGGCTATCTGTGCACACTGGAGCCAGTGCTCATAGTCAGTTTGGTGGGGCACCACATGCAGCACATGTTCCATGCCAGGCCCCTGGGACACATGGGGTGCTCAGAGCCGAGTACAGTTTGCCTGGGGCTGGCACACACTGCCTGGGGCTCAGGGGGCTGGGACATGGCCATGGCACACCCCACCGGACCAGCTCTACCCACTAGCTCCAGACTGCAGACTGAGCCAGACAGGACCCTCATCCAAGTCATGGGGTCAAATGAGTTTGACACCCCTGATCTACAGCTAGATCTCTAACCTACTCTTTAGCCTCACATACCCTTGCATTTCAAGTCAGCTGTTTTGTATCACAGCTCCCAAAGCTCTGCTAATCCTGAGCAGACAATATTCTGTATATCGAACTATGCGATGGTGGAAGTAAATCCCAAGACTAAAGTTTATGTGTATCCAAAGTGACTTTCTTTTCCATTGAAAAACCCACACTTACCAGAGTGAGGTGGTAGAGATGTAATGTACCATCTGAATAAAAGGCAGAGGGTCAGAGGTGGCACCACAGCTTGTACAGACACACTAAATCAAGAAGAAAAAGTGACACAGAAAGAAGGTTAAAATGGATTTGTTAATATCACATACACTTGTACCTGTTTAATTTTTTTCAAATACAGTGCCCTATTTCATAGGTGTTAAACCAACTGACTCGGAGGGGCGGGGGAGAGGGTGTGCGGTCTCTAAAGCAGACCACATCATCTCACCTGCTCAAACAAGGTCATTGCAAACTTCTGGTGAGAAATGCAGTGCGGGGCAGTGCAGATATCCTCTTTTGTCTCATCTGCAATGTGGAAGTGAATCCGCATTAACAGGTTCTCCTAGTCCCAAAAGAGAAAAAGTGAAATGTGTTGATCATTTGTAATCAGACAAGCAAAAGCAAAATAATAAATTATTGAGGTACTCTTGTGAATCATGAAAAGATATGGTGTATTAAAAGTGATGCTGCACAACAGGACAAAGCATTCTTGCTAAATTCATTTAGGAACAAGAGAGATGTGAGTCCCCTTGACACTACACAAAATGGCTATCATGTTTCTTATCTAGAAAAATATACCCATTATTTAATTGGTAACAGCTCTGGAGCATCTAAAACAGCTGGGTGGTGCTGGCTGAAAGACAAAAGCTTCAATGCAAGCTCATCATCCTGGATGAATCTCTATTGATTACCGCATAGTCAAGGGACTTTTAAACAACACACCCAAACTCTATCTGATAGGTAACTTCATAACATAGTGAAGAATCTTAGAAAGAATCAACAGCTTTAGTGAAGAGGCAAATTAGGTCCTGAAAGAAGCAAAAGCTTCTTTCTGTGGGTGTTGCTTCAGACAGTTCCCTGTTCTCTATTTTCCAAAAATTCCCAGGAGCCACTCATTGATGTCAACATGAATTTGTGATCAGGCAGCCACAGATACCTCTACTGGTATTGTTTTTACTACTGAATTTGTGCTGTCTCAACAGACGAGAAAGAGATCATGGGCTAAGATCACCAAAGCTGAATTAATTAGACATAAAAATGTTGCCAACTTCAAGTTGCCATCTTGTGCTTTAAAATATTAACTCCTCTTCCCCACACCTAATAAGTCTCTAGAAATCACAATTGTAAAGAAAACCTTTAAAATTAGTTAAGTGATATCTGCCTTCTGCATTTGCAAAGGCAGTTTTCTCATTATAATTATAAGTGGGATCTCATTGCAAAGTTTGTTTTAACAAAAATTCCACTAAAGCAAAATTATTTCCAAGTCCTGGCCACTGGCCCATAGTTAAATGTTCTCATCCAGATCTCCCTACAACAAAATCCACTACTGTGAAACATTTATTTACTACAAATGCCTTTCACAGCCTGTGACTAAGACTGGCTCTGTGACGAGGAATCTATCTGCCCTGAATTGAAAATAAGGGCAGTAAACAAGGGCCTACCCATATAAGTTGCTCCTTAGTAGTAGCCCCCAAGCCTGATCTTACCCAACAGAACTAAATCAGGACAGCTTTCTTATGGGTTTAGCTTTCACTTACCACAGTGTAATTGTGAGAACACTAACAGTTATTGCAGATTAAAAGATACATGGTAAGCCTTTGTCCCCTCTTAATTGTGGCCACATAGTTACCACTAGTCAGCTGCTAGGGCTGAGGTCTCCAGTATCACTGTAACTGACATGACTATACCAGCAAGCCACCCCATGTACAGTCAAATTATACAAGCAAAAAAGAGAGAGCAAGAGCAAGAGCAGGTGCATCTTTTTCCCAAAATAGGTTATATTTAGGGACCTACTTAATTTGTGGCCAGATAAAGGAATTTTCACAGCTAGATCATGGCACAAAAAGCTGATTTTGCAGGCATTTCCCAGTGCCCCTCCCCCTCACTGCTGATTGGCAGAGGTCTCACTGGGGAGAAGCGATGGGGGGGCTGGCTATCATCTTGGCTGCTGGCTGCCCTTTATGACACCCTGCCACCTTCCCCTCCTGGGTGGGTTGGGAGGCAGTGAGGACTGCTGGCTCCCACTGGGGCGCCAGTATTTTATTTTTACTAAGTTTTTTTTTTTTTTTTTTTTTTTAGTAAAGTTGCTTCTCCATACAATTGTGGATGTTGTGGTTTCTGTGAAATCTAAGAAACCGTGAATTAAGTAGGTCCCTAGTAGGGCTGTGCGAAGCTTCAATCCCTGATTCGATTTGGCAGAGATTCAGCCCAATTCAGTGGCCAGATTTCTGAATCCAAATCAAATCAGAGGACCCTTTAATCTCTCTGAATCAAATCAAAACCCTCTGAATCAATTCAGAGAGATTTGGAGATTTGGACATAGATACAGCTTTAAATGTTTTTTCTACGTACCTCAAGGTACCAAGTGGCTCCTCAATGCTGTGATGCTGGGGCGGATGGAGTGTCCCCACAGAAGTGCAGGGGGCTCCTCAACGTGCTCAGCAGCAGACCTGGAAGCAGACCAGAAGCACTTCTGGTCCACCAGGAAATGCACAGGGGGCCCCTCCATAGTGCCCTATTTCATAGGTGTTAAACCAACTGACTCGGAGGGGCGGGGGAGAGGGTGTGCGGTCTCTAAAGCAGACCACATCATCTCACTTGCTCAAACAAGGTCATTGCAAACTTCTGGTGAGAAATGCAGTGCCGGGCAGTGCAGATATCCTCTTTTGTCTCATCTGCAATGTGGAAGTGAATCCGCATTAACAGGTTCTCCTAGTCCCAAGAGAGAAAAAGTGAAATGTGTGCCTCCTGGGTCTGAGGGCGGGGGGGAACACTTGGGTTCCCCCTGCTGCTGATCGCTGAGCTGGGGAGGTGTGGAGGGTGTGCCCCTAGCGCGCTTCCCAGCGGACCCGGTAGTGGACCAAAAGTACTTCCGATCCACTTCCAAGTTCGTCAGTGGGTACGTGGGGGGCCCCCTGTGTTCCTATGGGATGCTCCATCCACCCCAGCACTGCAGCATTCACAAGCTGTGCCTGGTACCTTGAGGGATGTAGAAAAAACATTTAAAGCTGTGTCTATGTCTGAATCGCCGATTCTCTTAATCAGCATTGAATCTTCAGATTTGGATTTGGCCGAATTGAATTGGGGACAGTGATTGAATCACTGTCCCCGATTCAGGCCAAATCCAAATCAAATAGGGCCCTGTGAGGATCTGAAGGGTACTCACTTGGAACACGTCCCTGGCCAGGGGCATGGACCTCACCCGAACGAGACATCCACGCTGTGGCGGGAACTGCCCATCCTCCCCCACCTGGCCTTACCACTTCAGCAGGTGAAGCGGATTGGTGCTAATCCACGGCTGGGGCGATATTCAGGGGCCAGGAACTGAGCAACAGGGGGCAGAGGGGGAGCCGGCAGGGAGTGAGAAGAAGGAAGCCCAGAAGCTGGAGATGCGGGGAGAACACTGTGGGAGTGAAGAGGAGGGTGAGACCACCTCTTCGGAACCCGTCCAGGCGCCCCCCCCCGGATTAAGGAAGAAAGATCGCACTTCCTCGGTGACTCCCTGGCTAAATTAAGAGTGGGGAAGCTGAAGGACAGGGAAGACCGGCTCTGCTTTGGAATGCCTTAACAAGGGAGTTCCCCTCCTTGTTAAGCAATTGCGCGCCGGTAATTAAGCCCAGCACAGCTACAAATTAGCAAAGGGCCCGGGAGAAGCCCAGGCAAGGAAGAAGCCATCAACGAGCTGCAAAAGGGTGAGAGTGGAACCCCAGTTATATGGGACTGGATTTTTGTTTGCATCTTTCAAAAGAAAAGGAAAAAAGAGAAAGAGCATATAAAAGAAAAGGGGAAACCCTAAAAAGAAATAAGGCATCGTTTCCGGCTATTCCTTTCATCATCCTTTCCCCAAGGCTTCGGGTACTGGGGCAGAACCCAGTGGTCGATCCAGGTGGAGGCGAGTAGTCACCACCTCCCTTTCATTTACATCTAATTATCATCAAAGTTGTGGCAGATGGGAAGAGAGGGCATCAGGCTTCACTTGGACTGACCAAAAAAAGGGTTGCAGACCACCCTGAGGAGACTGGTGGATGTCAGCGGGGCATAGAGGCTCACGCCCTTACCCAATGACTACCTGACAGGCCCATTTCGTACACCCATAGTACCTAGGTATATTGATTTAGCTAATGCAGTAGAAGTGTTCTTTTGGCAATGTAGACTATCTCCACTAGGAGGCTTAGCTTGACCACCTACACCAAGCAGTCTGAATTTCCCTTTCTCATTCATCAGTGATAATCTCCCCAGAGAGAGAAACCCCAACCACTTCAAACTGGGACTTGGTTACATCTGTTTATCATAACCAGCACATACATGCCCCTCCAAGTTAAAACATCTTAGTGTGGTGATTTCTGTGCACATTTGCAAGGCTAGTCAACCACCCACATGAATGTGTTACACAAACAGAATACTTACAAAACACTCAGCAGCATCATCCATGATACCCAGCTGGAATCGCTGCTCATCCTGAAACGTTTTTGCAAGGGCACTGCGCAGGGCATCAGATGGCAATACTTTTTCACTGCTACACTGAAATTGGTTGAAGATACCCTAACAGAGGAGGAGAAAAATGTCATCTTTGTGGTAAAAAATATCCTTTTCCAAATTTGTACATGTTTTTAGGTCTAATCTATTTTAACTACTCACATTCTCATCTATAACTACGTCCAATCCTTTTTAATATTATTAAGTTCTTTTCTTCAGTGATACTTTATAGCAATGCATTCCAAATGATAAATAAGCATTGCAATTCCTATTTACTGGTACCAAATTTCCCAGCTTTCAATTTTTCTCAAAATCCTCTTTGTCCTGAAAGTCAGCTATTGAAGGAGGCTGAAAAATACAGTCCCAAGATATGTGAAGCCTAAAGCCTGCTATATTGACTTCTATTAAAGGAAGATTTCTAAGGGACCATTCACGACAGATGTCCACTCTACTCACTACCACACCTACATGACACTATGAGGGTTTGCTGCTGCTTCCTTTTGTTCTGGCATAACCAGAAAAATTAGACAGGAATAGCCGATTACTTTCTCTGCACTATTTCATCCTTCTTATTTAATCCCCTCTTCATACATTCCTAATATATTCTATTTCCTTCTATGAAAATCCTTCCATGACTAATAATTGCTATCAGTCTCAAAAACCGTGCTATTTCTACTTCCTTTTGGAAACAGTAAGACTGCAAATCATCCACGTATTCCAGGTGAGGACATAGCATTGGAATATGTGGTACACAGCGGCATAATATAATTTTACCCTATCTTTAGTTTTGTTTATTTTACCTGCTATTGCACACTGAGCAACACTAGTTAAATTCTATGTACTGTAATTACTTTTTTCTCAGATGGTTTCTTTAACTATAGCCTGACAATCTGGATAATTCATTTCAATATGCATTATTCCTTTTGGTCTGTATTAAAGTTGATCAACACTGAATTTCATTCATCAGCATGTCTATGCACCTAACTTTGAAATACCCGTCTCTAAGTATCTAACAGTTGTCTCTCCCCCTTTAACTTCCTGCTAAAGGCTCCCTTCTACAAGAGGAGATAAAAATAATTCAATACAATTAATCATTCCCTTCTTTGGGCTGCCCAGGGTTTCTTATTTACTTCCAACTCTAAACAACTTGGGACTACTTGTCCACACTGCCAGTACTTAAAACAAAAATCACATTGCATAGATATAATAATGATGCTTTATTTAACTGGACCCTGGCTTGACTTTTCTGCCTTTTAAACTAGTCAAAGTGGAAGGAGAACATGCCTGGAACTGCCAGGCTGCACTGTTTTGCTGAGCTGTCATCCCAACTAATTCCTGCGTGTTGAGCTGTAATGAGGATCTAAAATCATGTTGGTCCCTTTGCTACTCCTTGCCTCTAATTACAGACAGAATTCTTCTGGTACCCTGAGATGTTGCGTGTATTTTAAAAAATGGACTCTGTAACTTGCTTTTTTCCTACTTTAATTACTGTTATTGGACTCGATGCTATTGTTAAAAAATGACTGGGTGAAAGGGGATAAAATTGGCTAAGCTTTGCAATTCTGGATGATCTGAGATGAAAAAAAACTGTAGCAGAAAGCTTTTCTGTAAGGAGTAACAAACAGGCCCCAGTATATTACTCCTGCAAAGAGCCATGGACATTTAATGAAAACTTAAGCCCCTATCCCAACTCAGTTCACTTTCCTTCTCTACCAAAGAGCAATCATGTTACTTCTGGAGAACACAAAGGACATTATTCAGTACAGAGGAAAGGGAATGAGTCACAGATGATTCACTGAAGATATCTAAAACTGGGATTCCTCCAGTGGCAAACAAAGATCTAGCAGTACAATATAAACAGAAGTGAAGAAGTAAAAAAGGTTAATTTGTCATTACAACTTATATATAAGTTCTACAGTGCATCTGCCTCCAGGTTCACCACTTTTTTGTATGGCACCACAGCAGTTCCCAGCACTGTCAACAGTTAGGTGGTACAGTAAGAAGCAGAAGCAGCAGCACATTACTTCAACCTGCCTCTGCAGCATCTATATAGATCAGGGGCTTCAGTGGGGCTTTTTGGTGCTTTTAGCTAAAGCTGATTCAATCAGCTATTACATAAAAGCGCCAAAAAGCTCCATTAAAGTGCCCAATCTATTCAGACGTCAGGGCAAGATGCTGCCTCTTCGAGGTATATGCTGGGCTCAGTGTGGGAGAGCACCAAGTTTCAAGTAAAGCACTCTTTTTATTTTTTTTAACACCTGCAAGCACCCCACATCATGCTTCAAACAGGCTACTTAGCACTGCTGAATGACAGACTGAATTATCCCATTTTTATCCTAGCTAGTCCTCCTGCAGTGCCATGTGGGCACAGTTACACTCCTTCCAGTTTAGTTGGCAGCCTGCCTGGAGCTGAGCAGTGTCTGAGGACATTAGTCTGGAGTGTTGTAGATTTAGAGTGGACACAGTCTTAGTAGCAGAGCTAATGGAATGGACCGACCTCCACAGGAGTTATGAAATACTATGAACTTCTGAAATTCTAGTGTGCAAATGTGTCTGAGGGAGTGTAATATTAAATAAAAGCCTCAAGTCTTCTTGACTTCTTGTTGTGTTCTTTACATTAATCTATGGCAATTGTTGGATGATATAAAGCAGGTTCAATGAAAAAAAATCAAAAACAGTTGGTCTAATAAAAGATATCACATCTACCCAAAGATCCTTGCCTACCTTATCGAAAACAAACATTTCTTAATTTTTGAGAATTGTTTTTCTGCTTTTCACAGGATGTTATCATTTAAAAAAATTATGTGCATTTCTAGATTTTTACATTTTGAAGATGCAGCCTTCACAGAAGAAACTAATCAACTGTTGAAGTTATTAAACCAGTATTGCAGAAAACTCCCAACTCAAACAATAGCAAAAGTTGTGAAATTTGTTACTCGCCACACCTAAGTCAAGGAAGTGATTCATTAGCCAAGGAACTGTAAGGAACATTTTAAATTCTATATTAAGCAATAAAAGCTCCTACATATATGCTGTAGATTTGATCACATTCAAGAAACATTCTCAAATACCTGGGCCTGTCCTTAAATTCAATGCAAATGTAGTCTGGCACTGTCTGGGCCAGGCAAGAGTATAACTGCAATATAAATGTAGGATGACTAGGACTGTAATGCTCTTGCATGCTGTGTCTAAGTACAGTATTTAAAGCATAACAATATTTTTAGTGGGCAGGGAGCCTGAGAAAATGATCCAACTGGGTCTGTGTGTTCTGGCAGAGCTTACCTTTTCTCCAAAACAGGACTGGAGCACAGCGTGAGATGCAAGGGAGTGGTGTTTTCCTTCCTCTTTTTTACTTTAAAACTAGACAAATTAATTCTTACTCTTCCTAATCCCAGATCTTGCCCCCCGGCTACACCCTTATCTTGTAAATTAATCTTTGCACCAAATCCAGGCCAGAATTCTGGCTGGCAGGAAGCAAGGAGCTGCTTTGCCAACCTCCTCCAAATTGTGGAAAACTCTTGTTCTCTTCTGCAAATTAAATATCTTTCTGATTTAAACTGTACAACCAAAATTACTCACTACTGCTGCCAAAACACTGGTAAAGCTTTAGAGAACAGATGAGTTATCTCCCTTTTACAAAGAAGGGAAAAATTTGCTGTGGTTGAAAGGCTCCTAAATTTAGCTTGCAATCCATTCTGATACTTGGATGAACTTTAATTTTTAGCATGATGAAAACTGAAATCTTCTTTCATTCAAAGACTCTCCACTCTTCAGTGTTTGACTCCATTTTTAGCATACCAGGGTATTCTCCTTGTTGTCAGTCACATCTTGGTCTTCGGGGGCAATTTCAAATCATCTTCCTGCACATCTCATTACCTGATACTTTTTTCCCTTGACATTCATTTAACACTTTCCATCTGCACAGCTATCATTAAAAAAAACAAAAAAAAACCCAACTCCAAAAAACATCTTTTTTTCCCTTCTATCCAACTAGATCAGCCTTGTTTCTGAATCCATCCTTCCAATAGTTCAGACTAGGGGTGCACCGATAGAGAATTTTTAGGCTGATACTGAGGGTTGATTTTTTAACGAGCCATATTGGCCGATACCAATCTGATACGTAGACAGGCAGCATGGAGAGCAGGGCTGGTTGGTAAGTCTGTTGTGGAGGAAGGGTGAGGGAGGAGGGAAGGGGGGGCAGATTAAGGCCACCGCAGTGAGGGAGAGAGTGGGGCTAGGGCAGTCCAGAAGGTGGTGGGGGAGTAGGGGGTGGCTCACGCTGCTGCACGAACCCCAGGAGAGCATGAAGGACATGTACCTCCAGATCTGTGCCCAGGGTGAGGGTTGGCTGCTGCTGAGGGCCTGGGCTGGGGCAGTGCTGGGCTCTTCCCAGCAGGGAGCTGTACTGGCTGCGCTCAGGGTGGGCAGCAGCAGCGCTGGAAGTGGGGGCTATAGCGAATTGTGGGGTGGCTGCAGCCCCCCAAAGCCCCCTCCCAGCACTGCCACCACCCTCCCCAAGAGTAGCCCGGCTCAGCCCCAGCTGGGAAGAGCCCAGCACCACCCCAGCCTGCAGAGGCATCTCACCCTGCCCTGCATGCAGATCTGGGGGCATGTGCCCCCCCTGCCCTGCCAGTGTGCACACAGCAGCGGAAGCCACCCCCCGAACAAGCTGCTCACGGCTCCACCCTGGCTGTGCAGTGCCTGCCCCTGCACCTTCCCCAACCCCACTCCCTCTTGCACCGCTAGGGCCTTGATCTGCAACCCCCATGCCTCTTCCCTCACAACAGACTTACCAGCTGGACTCAGGTGCTCTCCATGCTGCCAGGCTGCACTCCTTCCCACCTGCGTGCTCTGCTGCAGCTACGTATATATGGGGCATTTATCAGCTACATGAGACAAAAAAGCCAATTGCCGATACAGTTGATTTTCCTTATATCAGTGCCAATCCGATATGGGAACAAGGTATTGATGCACCTCTACTTAAGACTTCTCCGTTAATATCAAGACGGAAGCTTCTCATCTTTCCCTCATCTGCCCCTCACTTCTTTTGTTTTAATATGTCACTA